GCTTAGAATTTCAATTTGATTTTAAAAACCACAAAGTTAATTACACTGTGCCCTTTGGAAGTTCATGAGTATAAATGTCAGGGGTTTCGAATCTGTCTCTCTTGGGTCACTTGCACCTTGAACATCCGCCCCCCCTCCTGCTCATCAAGGCAAAACCTCCCAGTCCTGGCTGTGCCGGACCAAGTCCTGCCTCTTCTGGGTACCTGCCGTGCTAGGGACACGAGTGGGGGCAGAGCAGATGATGCCCGGATGTCAGAGCCCAGGGATGACGAAGGGAGGGGGCAGGCACGCAGCACACCAGACGCCCGTGCCAGCAAGTGTCGGGTGTGGCTTAGCCAGGAAGCGCGCCCCGTGAGTGCAGGGCCTGGGCAGCTCCTGACTGCATGTGAGAGCAGGTGGGTGGCTGTGAGGAGGGGGCAGGGTGACAGGGTGATGCTCCCGGGCAGCCACTGCTCTCATCCTTCCTGCACGAGTCTCTGGACACTCGGCCTGGAGTTGCTCATCTTTTCCGTGCTGTGTCTTCCTACACATTCTTTTCGCTGCAGAGGCCATGTCTTACACGCGCAGCCTTTGTACACTTAGCAAGTGCTCTGTGCTGCTTTGGATGTTGTGGTCTCAGATAACCCTGATGCCTGAGGTTCTGGAAGGTCTGATGCGACTTGGTTGAGTGTATGCTCGCTCCTTCCTGGGTGTGTGTGTGTGTTGGGATTTGGGGATTGTGACCTCATCTTTGGGGTACTTTATCTGTGAGTATTCTCTGTGCACTGGGCGGAGGGCATGCTTTTCTGCATGGGCTTTGTTTTGTCCCTGCCAGCCTCCTCCTGGTATCCATGGCCTGGGACAAATTTTTACGTTTCATGTTTCAACTCTTACAAACCAAGAGAAAAGGCCAGTGCAATGGAAATACTGTGAAAGGATGTAGTTCACAGAAAAGGGAATACACGCAGCTCCTAAATGTAAAGAAATGAGTCTTTGTGACATGCATCCTAATCTTTTCGCAAGTTGCCAATAATTTGTTGACTTTGTTTATGGTGTTGATCTAATATGTAATTATTTTTGTGTGTCGAGCTTTTCAGTCTTTTACTACTGTTGGGTTTTGTGTCACCCTTGGAATGACCCTGCTTGCCATTTCTAAACCTTGTGTAAATGTGCCCTGTCTCATCTTCTGGTGCTTTCTTAAATCTTTGGTCCATCCAGATTTTATTTTGAGAGTAATGAGGAGGTATTGGGAACCAAATCAGTGTTTTTCTCAGCTGGTTATTGAATCAGGGTGCTTTGGTTGCAGGAAACATAGTGACTACAAGTGGCTTAAATAACAGGGGTTTATTATGCTACGTAATACAAATCTTAGAGGTTGGTAGTTCCAGGCGTGATGAACTTGGGTTCGCTTCTCTGTGCTTTTTTGACTTTCCCTCCGTGCTCACAAGATGACTGTTGTACATCAGCTCCTCATGCAGCCACATCCAAAACAGGAAGGCTAGCGACAGACTTCTCACATTTCATTGGTCACGACTGGGTCACATGATCACCCCCAAACCAGTTGCTGGCGAAACAGTGGGGTGACTGTGAATGGTGTAGACCAATCGAGGTTCATCTTCTGGAGTTAGAGGGAGGGAGGGAAGAAGGAAGGAAGAGAGGGAGGGAGGGAGAGAGGGGATAATGCGTCCATAGAGGCAGCTGGCGGATTGGCCTAGCTCCCTAATTGTCCCAATACCTTTCAATAGATAACTCTTGTCCCCACTGACAGGCATTTACAGCTTCATCATCTGTTACATTTCTCTATGAATTTAGCGTTATTTTTGGACTTGGTCTTCTGTTCCATTAATATGTTTACTCATGTACAAACTCTACATTCTTTTAATTGCTATAGTTTTAAATATATCTTAGTATTTAGTAAGGCTTGCGCCTTCTTATTACTCTTCTATCTGAGAATTTTCTTGGCGATTTTTGTTTGTTTTTCCAATGAACTTTAGATTCAGTTTGTCTAGGTGTTTTTTTTGTTTTTTAAGTTGGAGTTTTGTTACATTGATGGATGGATTAGGAGGAACACGGTAACTGGCGTCTTTATGGGATGTCCTATTTGTGGGTAGGGTGTGTGTGGTTTGTATTTTAGTGTATGCAGGTTTTTTTTGTGCCAGGTAGGGATGTTTTAAATGATAAAATGAAGCACACTTCAGGCTCAATATGTGAATTATTTATCTCTCCACTTACCTGTAACCTATTTGGTTGAAAGACTAAATCTTTCTTTTATTACCAGCTGATGTGTCAGCTACCTGATAGTTCTGTAAACCAGGGAGAAAAAATTAGATAACATTTACCATGAGACTGGAATTAGCCTCAAGATAGATACTTTGTTTTTTGGAAATACTTAGAAAACTATTAGTTAATATTTAATTTTCCCC